CCATGTACCTTAAAAATATAAATCCATAGTAAAAAAATATCCTTTATTATAATAATATTTATCACCTTATTAAGCTGATAGATTTGCATATAATATTTTCCATTATGAATTCACATCTTCAATTAAGGCAAAAAGGATTAAAATTATTTAAAAACTCATTATTCAAAATAATTATGAATTTATCTAAGCAATAATATATCTGATGAAGTAAACTTTTATTATATATATATATATATATATGGATAATAAAGAATCAATATATACTCGATATATCGATTTAATTATTTGTACAATTTAAGAATCTAAATATTTGAATTCTAGAGTTAATTGAACTTGCAATAAATTTGAATTGCTTTTAAACAAGAACCTGGCTCTTATTCTTAAGAAAGATCAAAGTGCACCAAAATTATGAATTCTTCAGTAAATTAGATGAAGGTACTTCAATAATTTATTACTTATTAGTCAGGTTAGTTCTTGAGTTTGATAACATTCTTTAAATATGATTAATTCGTAGTAATTAGGGTAATTTTTTATATTGAAAAAATTCTATTAATTGATAAAGTGTCAAGAAAAAAAATAATCAATAAGGATTAAACTAAGTATTGATAAAATATTTATTCTATTATTTGTTATTCATGAACATGATAGAATTAGCCCTTTTTAATTATAATATAAAAGTTTTATGAAGCAATAATAGTGGATATGGAAAGTAGAAATTTTTAATGACTATTTGATTGATTATATTAAATACTAGAGTATAAATGTTGGCACATTTAAGCAAATAATATTTAAATTAAAATGTTGGAGTTTAGTAAAGTATTAAATGCAAATTAATTTAAAGACTTAATAATAATCAGATTATTTTGATTTGATATAAGAAAAATTGATTGAATTATAAATTTCTTCTAATAAAGAGGAAAATTGAGGATAAAAAATGATCTAGAAGAAATGGAAAAATGTGGAAAGTTAATACATAGCTTAGTTGGTAGTTGAAGCTGTATATTGTATTTAAAATGAAATAGAATAGAATTAATAAGAAACTTTTAATCTTCTATGAAACTATTTAAAAAATTTACAAATATATTTTAAAACTCTCTTTATTATAATTAACAATAATCGACTGATGGTTTAATAATTAAATAGGAAAAACCATTTTAATTTCAATAAATGATGCTAATTTAATATCTAGATATATAACAAAAATATTCGATAATTTTTTATTTAAAGAAATACCTTTTTTGTATTTAGTAGTTTTATATTAGGAAAAAATATTTAAACATAGTATGATAATTCAAAGATTACATTATTATAAAAATCATCTAAATTTAGTAACAAATTTTTATTATCTGATGCAGGAATGTAAGAATATGTTAAATCGTAACTAAAATTTTTCAATTACATAAATTTGGATTTATGTAATCCTGTTATTATTATCTGTAACCATTCTAAAATCAATAATAAAGAAAATGACATATATGTTTCCTAAATGTAATTGATATCATTTATTGGCTACAAGAGATTTATTTGTACATATTGAATTACCATTTAAGAATTTAATTTAACTCTATCCCCTCAATATTATATCTCGTAAATCAAGTTGTATTTCAATATCTTTGTACTATTTAAAACTTGAATAATTTGCTTTTTTTTTTATGTGGAATTAACTTAGAATATCAAGTAATATTAAGAATAACAGTTTTCCGATATTTTTCACCCAATTTAACTTATGTAGAAGTATGTTTTTAAATTGAAAAAATTTGTGTCTTTCATATTTAGTACAGGATTAAATTTTAATAAATATACATTTTTGGATATGTTATTTCAGTTTCTTTTCATATAAATAAGTAAAAGAAATTAATAATTGTCATTAGATATAACTAATAGTTATTAAGACATGAAATCAAATCAAACTAAAAAAAAATGTTGTTTTATAGGATTTCCATATAGTTCAAGAGGCAGTAATTTATCAAGTGATATATTTATTATCTTTATTCTATCTCTCCAAATAACTGCGTCATTGTTTTATACTTACTTTTAACAAATAGCTTAAGTCAATATCTTTAGATGTACAGATGATAGAAAATAATAAGAGTTTAATTTAATTTAATTTTTCTGCGGATGCTAATTGTAATATTAATTTGGATATCAAAAATCATTTAAGAGGAATAAATGCATTATTAATAAACTTTTCTTGGGTTTAGATGCTTAAAAAATATGATAATTAAGTAGGTAAACACCATGTATAATGAAAATATGATAAATCTTATAATTTGATTCATAATAATATCCAAGATAATGATACTTTTTTTTTTAATCTAAAAACAAATTTGTTATTATTAAATTTACCTTATTTAAATATAGTTTTCACCATATGTAATTTAATATAAAATTATAATGGTGTAATAAAAAGTAATTAACAAAGATATAAATTTTTGTAATACCTTTTGAGTTTTGAATTTATAAAATATGGCATCTGTACTAACTTTCTTAAGATTAATTAGATTTTGGATTCCGCAATTTTGAAGAGCTCTTCAAACAAACACTATAAAAATATAAGATTTATTATTTTCCTCAGTTTCTATAGCAGCATAAATCTTGATAGGATGATTTCGGTAATTGCATCATCTAAAATGAGCTGAATATTTTGCTGTTTTTACTTATTTGATTAAATTGAAGAATGCAAATATAATATAAACAGATTTTTATAAAGAGTAGAGAGCATCACAAAAATGATATACTCAGTATCAAAAATTTTTTTCCCCTTATGTGATGATTTTATAATAGTTTTTGGATAAATAATATTGAGATAGTAGTTTAAGTATAGAAGATGGTTATAATTTAAATCATAATGTCGTATTAATTGTTCATNTAACTTATGTAGAAGTATGTTTTTAAATTGAAAAAATTTGTGTCTTTCATATTTAGTACAGGATTAAATTTTAATAAATATACATTTTTGGATATGTTATTTCAGTTTCTTTTCATATAAATAAGTAAAAGAAATTAATAATTGTCATTAGATATAACTAATAGTTATTAAGACATGAAATCAAATCAAACTAAAAAAAAATGTTGTTTTATAGGATTTCCATATAGTTCAAGAGGCAGTAATTTATCAAGTGATATATTTATTATCTTTATTCTATCTCTCCAAATAACTGCGTCATTGTTTTATACTTACTTTTAACAAATAGCTTAAGTCAATATCTTTAGATGTACAGATGATAGAAAATAATAAGAGTTTAATTTAATTTAATTTTTCTGCGGATGCTAATTGTAATATTAATTTGGATATCAAAAATCATTTAAGAGGAATAAATGCATTATTAATAAACTTTTCTTGGGTTTAGATGCTTAAAAAATATGATAATTAAGTAGGTAAACACCATGTATAATGAAAATATGATAAATCTTATAATTTGATTCATAATAATATCCAAGATAATGATACTTTTTTTTTTAATCTAAAAACAAATTTGTTATTATTAAATTTACCTTATTTAAATATAGTTTTCACCATATGTAATTTAATATAAAATTATAATGGTGTAATAAAAAGTAAGTAACAAAGATATAAATTTTTGTAATACCTTTTGAGTTTTGAATTTATAAAATATGGCATCTGTACTAACTTTCTTAAGATTAATTAGATTTTGGATTCCGCAATTTTGAAGAGCTCTTCAAACAAACACTATAAAAATATAAGATTTATTATTTTCCTCAGTTTCTATAGCAGCATAAATCTTGATAGGATGATTTCGGTAATTGCATCATCTAAAATGAGCTGAATATTTTGCTGTTTTTACTTATTTGATTAAATTGAAGAATGCAAATATAATATAAACAGATTTTTATAAAGAGTAGAGAGCATCACAAAAATGATATACTCAGTATCAAAAATTTTTTTCCCCTTATGTGATGATTTTATAATAGTTTTTGGATAAATAATATTGAGATAGTAGTTTAAGTAATGTCGTATTAATTGTTCATGATTTATTTTTGACTAATTTATGTTTCTTTCAAAAGGTTGAATTTACTAAATCCTCAATACTTTATGAAGACTTAAAATATTATATCAAATGATATTCCACTTAAATGTCAACCTTAAAAGGGTCAAAAAGTTAACCATATAAATTTTATTGAATTGAAATTATTTAGTCTAATTCAATAAAACAAATAATTGTTAAAATCATCCTCTATCTCTTATAATTTAAATAAATCTGTAAATTATATTAAACTTTTTATTATGATTCATCAATATATGGTTTTTTTAAAGAAATGATTAAATGAAAAGTAGCAAAAAAGTTAATAAATACTCTATGTTAGATGATACACTGAAATTCTCTTCTATTAAAGAAAATAATATTATTTTTATAACTTAAGCTAATTAAGCACGAATTGATATTAATATTAGTATAAATTGGAGATTCCAAATTATTAAAAAGCCCCCAATAATTACGGTTAACAGTTTGGTTTATTTGTAGGTTAACAAAATTAAAAATCTCTGTTAAGAAAAGAATGTTCAATTTATGAATCCCTTTTACAATCATTGTTAACAAAATTCTCCAAAATCTCGTTCAGCCCGACCATTTTTTTATTTAAGTAATTTTGATCTGATACTTTTCATACATTCTTCTGATAATTCTATCTTTGATAAAGTTTTCAAAAGCAACCATACACTAATTTTACTCGTAAGATAATTTCTATATAACTGTTGTTTATTCTTCCTTCTTTACGTTATTAAGTTCTAACAATAAATGAGAATTACCAATCATAGAATATTTAAGAAAACATAAAAACAATATTTGAATCATTTGAAGTTAAATTTAATTATTCATCACTTAGAATTTAGTTTTTTCATAGAAATATTTTCTACAACTCATTTAATTTTATATTTAGTCTTATTTTAATATAGAATAATTAAAATCAACAGTAAACAGTAAAGAAACAAAGGAAAAGCCAGAAAAGAAAATAAATAAAAACAAAAAATAATTTCAAATAAAATTATAATTGAAATATAATTTATCATCAGTTCCTTCATTTTTTAATTCTGGGATTTAAACTTTAATTAAATGATAAAATTTTAATTAGCTTTAGGATTTTTAAAATAATTAAGATCCAAAATAAACAAATTTTCAATAAAAACTTTATTGGTTTGTGAATTATTTCACAACATAATTTTAAGAATCAAAAAGTAAAAAAACTATTTACAACTGAATGCAAATCTATGGTAAAGAATTTTATATAATTACTTGGTCTGGGTTGAAATTTTGTACAAATGTATTACACTATATCAGTTACATATCTATTGTTTTTGTAAATTTCTTTTATCTAATTTAATGAGAATTTATTTTTTAATCATCAAAACAATAGCTGATAAATAGTCCTGAGATAAAAATAAGGGGATTGTTAAAATTTAGGCATTTTATAAAATCGATTTATAAAAGACAAAATTGAATTAAAAAATAGTTATTAATAAATCATTTATTCTTCAGATAAATTAAAGGCATATTAAATGAAAAATCAGAGCTATTCAATAATTTTGGTATTTATAAAATCTACATGATATAATAATCTCCCAAATCTTTTGATTTTTATATATTGCTGAGAAATAATCTTCCAGAAAGGCTATGCTTTATAATGTTTTTCCCTACAAATGTCTTATCATTAAATATACAGCATAAAACTTACTCTCCTCATCTTCGGTCATTCTTTGGTTTATTGCTAATACCATTCTCAAACTATTCACCAATTTATCATTCGCATAATCTCAATAGAATAGATGACATTATACCCTCAAACTAAAAAAATTAAAATATCCCTTAAGATAGCAGAGTCGATTTCAAATATTCTTGATAATCCTGTCAAATTCTTTTGAACTGTATTTCCTATTTTCCTGAACAATAAAAAAGTGGAGGCCACTTGTAAGAATCATTCATTTGAAGAAAGAAACACTTCTGACTTAAAACCAGAACTATTCCTTTATCATGCAAATATGTAACTCTTCCTTTATTTGAAATAAATTAATTCAAAGGTAGAATACATTTAAGTCCATATTTCACTAGGGTAGAAATGAATATTCTTAGACAAGGGAAATTGATCTTATTATATCTTAATCATCAACAGGCTTTTTGGATGAAATTCTTTTTTATGCTTTCTCAATACAGTTTTAATTTCATATTCCTTCTTAGATGCTTTTCCTCAATAGATTAGTACTTTTGATGATATCAGTTAAAGGGGGGAAACCCGTAACTCACTTAATGCCATAGGCCATACATTTAGAAATAAACTTTCTGGATAACCAGAAAAGGAATTGATATTCTAGAATCCGATCTCGCTTATAATGAAGATATCTGATATCACAAAAATCAATTAAAAATTTATATTAAAAAAGTCCTTTTATTTAGATGAAATTAGTTATAACTGAAATTGAAAACCTTAAAGTTCTTTAGAACTTAATTATTTAAGACAAAATGATTGACAAGATTAAGAAGAAAATATAATTAGGTAAGGTGATCTTGGAGTTTTTTTAAGTTATTTCAATTTAATACACTTCCATAACATATTGGAGGCTAGAAATGATCATATTGATTTCTGAAAATCTTGTAAATTCTAAAAAACTACAAGTGTTGTGATAAGAAGTTAAGCATAAGATTGCTGCAATGACAATCAAACCTAAAATAGGGAGTTAATTGAAATACAAAAAGAGTAATTTTAAGATGATTTAAAATTGAATAATTGTAATGTCTTCTTAATATTTCTTATGGCAATAATTGATCTTTTGATAATTGAAATTAATATTTTTATAGCCAAGAATAAAAATCAAACTTTCGATTAAATTTTAGCTTTTGAAAACTTGAGAAGAATAGAAATTATTTATTTGTCTTAGCTCATTTTTAAATTTTTTCTTCAAATAGCAGCATTAGATTTACAACAATATTATGAATTCATATGTATTTAAACATCTTAAAACCAATTTACAAAGTGCAAAAGAGCAAATAATAAGAAATTATAAATAATTATTATTCTATTTAATTTATATTTTTATTTTAGTTATATATTATTATTGAATCATCAAAACCTAAATTTGTATTATTAATTTGAACTTATGTATCGGTAATTAAAATCTCATTCATTGTTGTTGGATGAATTTAAATCTATTTGTAATTTATTGGATTTTCATTTTCTATACATCTTCATTTTTTTTATTTAAAGGATAATAATATGTTAAACTTATTAATTTTATTAAAAAGCAAATATAATATTGATTAATTAAACCATGAGAATCATTATAAGAAAGAAATAAATTCAGGCTTTGATAATGATAATTAGAAGTTTTTACTTAGTATAAATTAATTCATAAAATTGAAAGTCTTTGATGATTAAGCTAAAATAAGATTATAAGTATAAAATTAATTATTCTTAATAAAAATATAGTGCAAATTCATAATAAGGTTATTTTTTGCTTTTAAATTTGAAATAGTTTCTTGTTCGAAATTAATTCTTTATTTTTTCATTTTTATCTTAGTTATTTTTGATAATTATATATCCAAGCAGACAATTTGTATTTTTTAAGTAATTTTATAATTATCTATATTATACCTAATGTATTAATTAATTTGATGCTCAAATAATGTATGATTCTTGCTTTGAGATGTGAAATCAGATTTAATTAATTTTTTTCCACTCTTTATTATCAAAAACCATTATTATTTCCTAATTAGATATATTTAATCCGAAATTTTTTAAGTCTCCAAATAAAAATAAATAAATATTTAAATTGGATTTTATCAAATCTCGAGGGCATAAAGACACTTTATTTAGAGAGAAACTTATTTTCCTTAAAAAATATTGCTGTTCTGGCTATTAAAAAGAATTAAAATTAAATATCCAATCTCATTTGACTATCATACTATTATTCAAGGTTTCTTAAAATGATTTTTTCATTAAAAGAATTAAATTACCTTCTCCATAGACAATTAAACACATAATAAATAATTTTTGGAATTTTTAATAAAGAATATATTGACTACTAATATACTAATTTTAAATTTTAATTTAAATTCTTCTTTATAGATTGTTTATAGTTAATATTAGTTGACATTTAATTTATATATAATTATCGTTTACGCAATTAAGTGTCTTTTTATTTAAACCATTCTTAAATGATTAAATTCTTATACGAAAAATTTTAAATAAAAATTTCAAGTCAAACAAATTATAATTCATATATCTCACATTCTGTTATTTCTGGTTTATTTTATCCAAATAAATATGGATCCTCACTTCCATTTTTGTATTAATCAAATTAATAGGAAGAACCTAATTTACAATATCCATCAGTAAAATTACTATCTATTATAATATCAAATCCACCTCCAAATACAGGTCCATAAGAACTTGAATTACAATAAATAGCATTTTATTTTTAATCTTACTTCAAAGGATAAACTTAATCATGAGTTTATGAAAATATAAAAGATGATAATGTATTATCTTCTATATATTTACCATTACATGATTCCCATTTACAAGGAGAGTATGCTCCAAAGATATAATAACTTTTGGATTTAAATATCATTAGTAAGTTACCTTTACCATTCACTTTATTCCAATATTATTAATTATTTAATCCATCTCTTGTGCCTTAATAAATCAAATTAGACTATTTGATAACTTTATTAGTCTTCTCTTGTAAAATATAAACTATTTTGATCCAAAAATTGTCTTTAAGTAGATTTGGCTTTAGTAACTTATCAAATTTTTATTCCAAGACTGCTTACATCATGAATTATTTTGCACTTTAAATATTAAAATTAAGTGATGGCGATTTTGGAACCATAAATAATAATAATAATATGTAATATGGTGCGTCATAACTCAGTTTAATGTTTATCAATACGTCAGTCCATCCACCAAAGGGGGTAAATCCCTATGGGCTTCTGAGACTGATAGCCATTTTGACCCTCTACATGCCGCAATAAATTGGCTACTAGGGTCTTAAACAAAGGCATGACCAGAAGCGCTTATTTTCCTTCTCCTTCCATGAATTAAATTTTATTTTTTGGAACCATAAATTTAAACATCTCCTAATACATTTTTGAATTTTTAGTATTTTCTAAAACCTCGGTATTGATATTTTTTAATTAATTACTCTATTAGTTAACCTAATCATCAAACTATTGCATCTACTATTTATTTTCATTATTTAATTTATTTAATTTCTACTCTAATGATAGTTGAGCCTTGTTACCTTCATTTATGGACAATGATAAAGATGATAACTATTATTCTTAGTTCTTAAATTTAGATACATTTTCTTCCTAGATTTGCTACACTTTTTAATTTTATTTTTCAATTTATGAATTTTTGGAAGATATTTCATCATTTATTTTTATATTAACTCTTATTTATATAATTAAGTTTATTTAGTTTGTTAAGTATTTACTTCTCTAATTGTTTCTGTCAACTTTTCGACGTTTTAATCAACTGTTATGAGTTATGTTTCTATATTATTTTTAAAGATTATAGTTTATTTTTAACTGTAGTGGATTTTTCTTTCTCTTTTAAGTCTGTCTATACTTCATTAATTTATTAATTCAGCTCATTATATTTAGTAATTAATTGTTCCAATTTTATTTCGTTTGACTGAGACAATTCCATTAAATTTTACTTTAGTTAATTATTTTAAATTGTTTCTTAACTGCATTATTGAGCAAATTCTTATTCTTATTTGAGGAGTTTTTGATTGATATTTTCTTCTAAATCAATAATTTTTTATTAAATTTATTTAATTTCTAATTTTTCTTCATCAATTTTTAGTTTCAATTCTTCTTTTTATTTAGTATTTAATAGCAGTTATTACTCATTTTCATCAGAATTTATCAATTTCCTCATTTTTTCTGAATTTATTTCAAATTATTTATATTATTATTAGAGGAAAGAAGATTTTACATCATCGGTATCATTTTTTACTTCAAATTAAATAAACTGCTCAAGCTAACCTTTTTACTCAAGCTATTAAGCTTCTTTCTATAATTCTATTTGTAAATCAACTGATTCATTATAAATTTATAAGTATTATTCCTACAATTAACATTTAGATATAAACTTATGTATTTCAGGAGTAATTTGAATATCAGCACCATTTCCTAGATCTAAAATTAAATCAATTAAGTTTACCTTATCAATCTTATAAAATTGTCATCTATTATTACTTGCAAAGTAAATCATGCTTGATAAGGGTTTCTAATTTTGATTTGACATTTTGATAAAATAATTTATCAAGTCTATCTTGCTTCTCCTATTACTATAGAATATGTTTATTTTTATCTTATTAACTTAATAAATCAATAATTTTCTCAACTTATTTTTCATCTAATTCAAAAATCTATTAATTTTCTAATTTAAGGAAGTCTAAAACTCTTTTTTATTTTATTAGCTGTTCATCTATTGACGACAACATTTCTGATAATGAATTATTATAATAATCTTTTAGTTATTTAATTTCTTCTTTAACCATTTTAAATGTTTTTTCTCTTCTAAAATTATGTTTTGAAATTAAATCTTCTAATTATCCTATAAAAGTATTCCAAATATTATTTGCTTCTTTTAAACTAATATATTGAATAGGATTTTCTTGAATACATTCTACACATGCCAATCGACCAAATTTAGGTTCAGTAAGATTAACATTCTGCATAATTATTTCTTTATTATGTTTATTACATATTTAATTAAGACAAGGAGTTTTTTAATATTAGAACAATAAATTACATGTTAATCAAATTCTTTGGCAGGTATTTCATTGATTTTTGCCTATTAATTGATTGGTACACTAGATCTAATTAAATCTATGGATTCAATTATTTAGATATAATTTTATGATTTTGACTGAGATTATAATGATTCATAGATTAATTACACAAGGACCTAGTCTTTTTCCTTATATGTTTGCTGTTTAGGGATATTTTAACTAAAATTTCCTATATAATTTTTGATAGAATTTGAATTTCCTCATCATAATTTTTGATTTCTAACTTTTATTCCTTTAATTCAATATCTATTTAGATTTATTACATTTGTTAATCTGTCTTGACTTGATTTTTGAATGATTTTATAGATGATTATAATTATCTTAAATTAGTTAATCTAAGGACATTTTCTTCCTTTGCAAGTTTTAAAGATTAGGTTTTCATGCTTTATATCATCTCTGTAGCGTCATTAAGCAAAGCCATGTTTTCTTTATCGACTCTCTCAGCTAGGCACCTAGTGCATAAATATTTGTCATCAATTCTAGATTATGATTTCAAATCGACTCCTACAATCTCTAATTTGTGGACTTAACAAATTTTTTTTCAATTTCTAATGATGTATGCATTAGATATTTATGTTTTTTAATTAATCATATAAATTAAAAATCAAATATGATTTAAAGTGGGAGAAATACATAAATAAATTTAGACATATGTCTTGCCTTTGCCAACAACAAGAGAATAATAATAACCCGAATAGTGCTGTTTTTTATGTGTGACTTTTAAATAGATCAAATATTGATTTAATTGAATAAAGTTTCAGATAAAATTTTCAGCTAAAGAAATTCTAATCTGGTTATATTATAACTTGAAGCCATAGAGAATGATCCTCGCTTATCCTATTATATATTATCAATATTTCAAATTCATCCAAAAAAAAGCTCTTATAATTAAACAAGCAATAGAGAACTGAATTTAATAATCTTTTTCTTTCACATTCATACAATATACAAATGCAATTCTTCAATTTAAGCCCCAAGTATCTCGTTTTTATTTGTCTTTAGAAGTCTATCAATCTATTAATATGTATATATGTTATATGATAATAGCTATGAATTGATAAACAATATATTTCTTATTTACTATGAAGAATCATTTTGGTAACTTTTTTGAATCTAAATGAATGATAAATTATCAAATGTTTTTAATTTGAATTCCATTTTATCTCTTCTTGGTAATCTAAATTTAAGTTTAGCATTTACATTACTCCTAACTTTTTTAATCTTCCTTATAAAATAAGTATACAAATGAGCTATAAAATCCACTTACACAACTACAGATATATCCTTAGAAAAGTTACTCTGTATTAAAATATTGAATTGCAAGTCAGAATCTGAAAAAAGCCTTGTTTACTTATCCAATTTCAAATTTTTATTTACAAAATTTTCAATTTCATCATTCACCTATACTGAAAAGAAATTCAATTTGTTGTTTAAATAACTAACAATATAAAGTAATTTTAATTTTAAGATAAAGGTAGTTGAATACTATTTTTGGTTTACTGCAATAATAACTTCTGTAAAATTAGTCTTATAAACTCACTATAATTAATTTATTATGAATGAAGAAAACCAGAGTAAAAAAAATTTTTTAATTGATTTTTTATCAAACAATTACTTTGGTTTTTAGTGTTTCTTAAAGAAATTGTATCATATGAGGAACAGTAAATGATTTTCAAACTAAAAAAAAAGTCGCATCCTTTAATAAGACTACATTAATAATTACTGATTGCTTTTTGGCAACCTAAATAATAATAAAATAGATAANAAATATGATTTAAAGTGGGAGAAATACATAAATAAATTTAGACATATGTCTTGCCTTTGCCAACAACAAGAGAATAATAATAACCCGAATAGTGCTGTTTTTTATGTGTGACTTTTAAATAGATCAAATATTGATTTAATTGAATAAAGTTTCAGATAAAATTTTCAGCTAAAGAAATTCTAATCTGGTTATATTATAACTTGAAGCCATAGAGAATGATCCTCGCTTATCCTATTATATATTATCAATATTTCAAATTCATCCAAAAAAAAGCTCTTATAATTAAACAAGCAATAGAGAACTGAATTTAATAATCTTTTTCTTTCACATTCATACAATATACAAATGCAATTCTTCAATTTAAGCCCCAAGTATCTCGTTTTTATTTGTCTTTAGAAGTCTATCAATCTATTAATATGTATATATGTTATATGATAATAGCTATGAATTGATAAACAATATATTTCTTATTTACTATGAAGAATCATTTTGGTAACTTTTTTGAATCTAAATGAATGATAAATTATCAAATGTTTTTAATTTGAATTCCATTTTATCTCTTCTTGGTAATCTAAATTTAAGTTTAGCATTTACATTACTCCTAACTTTTTTAATCTTCCTTATAAAATAAGTATACAAATGAGCTATAAAATCCACTTACACAACTACAGATATATCCTTAGAAAAGTTACTCTGTATTAAAATATTGAATTGCAAGTCAGAATCTGAAAAAAGCCTTGTTTACTTATCCAATTTCAAATTTTTATTTACAAAATTTTCAATTTCATCATTCACCTATACTGAAAAGAAATTCAATTTGTTGTTTAAATAACTAACAATATAAAGTAATTTTAATTTTAAGATAAAGGTAGTTGAATACTATTTTTGGTTTACTGCAATAATAACTTCTGTAAAATTAGTCTTATAAACTCACTATAATTAATTTATTATGAATGAAGAAAACCAGAGTAAAAAAAATTTTTTAATTGATTTTTTATCAAACAATTACTTTGGTTTTTAGTGTTTCTTAAAGAAATTGTATCATATGAGGAACAGTAAATGATTTTCAAACTAAAAAAAAAGTCGCATCCTTTAATAAGACTACATTAATAATTACTGATTGCTTTTTGGCAACCTAAATAATAATAAAATAGATAATTATTGACATCCAATTTATTCTTGTTTGCTAGAAGTGTGACTTTAATTTGTTGATGGTATTAAAACAACAACAGTATTTACAATTATTATTTCTATTTCTTTCTTTTGCATATAAACCGCTACTTTGATATTTCTAATCTAGCAAAATGATACTTTATCAGTTGAGATAAACCTATATAATGTTCTCTATATTATATTATTAAAGATTACAGAAGCAAGCTGTAAAAATTGAGATTTGATATCTGATGTTACAAAGTACACTACCCAGACTTTTGACTTCAAATTTAGAGTTTTAATTTAATATCATTACATAAAGTGAATCTTGAATTTTAGCAATTTATTAAAAGGTCTAAAAATAAGTAAACCTTTTGGCTTAAGGATCATAACTCAATAAGAAATGAAGATTGAATCTACCTGAAGAAGATTATATTTATAAATAAAAAATTTCTAATTGCTCGTTTTTTTGGATAGCGATGGAGTAGGATTGACACATTTAAATTGTTTGCAATCAGACGCAGACTGTAATTTTAATATTATGATGAGCTTAATGTGGAAAGACACAGAAAGTTGTATTGAAATAATGTGATTTATAAATTAGAACTAAAATGAAATAAGTCTCTAAGCTTAATATCCTTATTTTAATTAAAAAAAGTCAATTTCAATAAACTATTTTTTAATTTATTGGTTTATATATTTAAAAAGGGTATTATATTGGAATAATAAGTAGAAACACAAAAGTTATTGATTTATTGATAAAATCATGTTTTTAACTTTATTTTTAAATTCACATTCCAGTTTAGGTTGATACTTAATCACAAATGGAAATTGGTTCAAATTTAATCACCTAATCAAATAGATTTGGAAATAAGCAATGAATGCTAATTTAGAAATTGAAATTTGACATGATAATTAATACAATCTTCAAGTCCTGCTTAACTAGGCAAATAAATTAAGAAATATGAAAATACATCAGATATCTCTATGAGCTAAAATATCTATTTGAAATTATATTTAAATATGTCTTTATATTTATCTAGAAGGAAACATGCACATTCTGATTTATTTTTATCTATCCCTATGAAATTAGTACATGTTTTGGAAGTGAAAAAATCTTTACTTAAAGTTGTTTCTTTTCATGTGAATCTAACGCATTGCTAGGATATCTAAAAAAATTGTAGAGTTATTTATGTTGAGTTTTGGATAAATTCGAAAACTTTTTTTGCAAAATAAGCTTTTATTTACTTAAGCTAAATTTTTTG